GGTTGCTTGCTCGTGCTGTTCTCTCATGTGCTGCTGATGCTCGCGTGTCCTCGACCCTCGCGCTGTGCGCTCGACTATCCGTCATTCACGGTAAGTTCACGTTAAACGACACTTTAAAAAGGATAACATTGCTTTGTTAGACGGACTTGCTCTATGAGATGAAAAGGTGCGCGATGTGCCTAAGAATCTAATAGGGCTAGTTGTCACACTGAATAAAAGTGAATAGCCTACTTAAAAGTTGCATTCTAAATAACACCTCCTCCGGGAAAAAAAAATCTATCTATCTAACTACATATATACTGTGAATATATATAATTACCTTCCACAATAGCATAATATATGCTAGTGTATTTTGATTGTGGGGTCACTTGTTTACTCAACAGGTAGCCGTTGATTTGCAAAAATCAAAATTTTAGTTTGGAGGACAAAATTAATAGAGAATAGGGAATATTTAAGTAGGCTAATATAGATGTTTATTGTTGTAGTATGTTTTTTCCATTTAATATTCGGTTAGGCTATATGTATACTGGAAATATGACCACATAAAAATTCTACCGATACGGAGAGAATGTATGGAGATGGTTAGAATGAATAATAATGAAAACTCTATTAAAACCTTAATGGCTCTATTAATGTGATATCTGACTGTTAAATATGAGCTCAAACAGAGGTTCAGTCATGAGTGTCCACACTGGCAAACTACACACATAGGCATACAGGTTTTTACACACACTCACACACACACACACACACACACACACACACACAGGTTTGTTTTTGTGAAAAGTGGGGACATCCTATAGGCGTAATGGTTTTTATACTGTACAGACCGTATATTCTATTACCCTACACTAACCCTACCCCTAAACCTACCCCTTACAGGAAACTTTGTGCTATTTCAGATTTTCAATACACTCCATTCTGTGTGATTTATAAGCGTTTTGAAAAGTGAGGACATGGGGTACTGTCCTGAAAAGTCACCTTCTCCTTGTAATACCTATGTCATACCTTTGTCATTATACAAATTTATGTCCTCATTTGTCACAAAAACGCGCACACACACACACACACACACACAAAAATGCCCCCCAAAAAATCTACCACTCACTGCTTTACTGTATTATTTTATTGTATCGTAAAATCAGTTTTTCAAAGCAGTTCCCTGATCTTTTTTTTTCAGTTGTTTTTATAACTTTAATGATCATCACAGACAGGTTTGTTTTTGTGAAAAGTGGGGACATCCTATAGGCGTAATGGTTTTTATACTGTACAGACCGTATATTCTATTACCCTACACTAACCCTACCCCTAAACCTACCCCTTACAGGAAACTTTGTGCTATTTCAGATTTTCAATACACTCCATTCTGTGTGATTTATAAGCGTTTTGAAAAGTGAGGACATGGGGTACTGTCCTGAAAAGTCACCTTCTCCTTGTAATACCTATGTCATACCTTTGTCATTATACAAATTTATGTCCTCATTTGTCACAAAAACGCGCACACACACACACACACACACACAAAAATGCCCCCCAAAAAATCTACCACTCACTGCTTTACTGTATTATTTTATTGTATCGTAAAATCAGTTTTTCAAAGCAGTTCCCTGATCTTTTTTTTTCAGTTGTTTTTATAACTTTAATGATCATCACAGTCCGGGGTCTTCATGTTACTGAGTCATTCACATTAGTGGGTCAGACTTTCATTTGCGATCCTGTTTGTGTTTTTTGTACAGGACAACAGCGACCCCCAGTCTGAGCGCTATGAGAAACGATATAATGATATAGATTATGACAGTTTTATTGGCCTGATGGGCAGGAGGAGCGCAGGTGAGACACAGGGAAACTAAATCATATGAATGATGAAATTTGCTTTTAACAGTAAGCCCCTATTAAAAATGCACAATATTAGGACATCATTTTCTCACCTTCATGTTGTTGTTTCACAGAAAAAATATCATCATTAAGGGTTAAAACAACTTGAGGATGAGTAAATGACAGAACTGAGAGCCATTCCTTCAAGCTCAATGGTATTTTAAGGTGGATTTATTATTCATTTTTATTTCACAGGAACAAATCGTGACACAAATCCACCATTTAGACGTAAGTTCCAGTTTTCTTCATTAACATACAACTATTATTAATTAAAGTAACATTCAGAGCTTGATGAGATTTTTCTCTTTGGTCTTTTGCAGCGAATATGAATGACATCTTTATTGGATTGTTAGGACGGAGAAACACTGTGTCTGGTAAGTCTGTGACAGGACATGTAAACGGTGGTCAATATCTGTCAATCTAAAGAGAAAATAGGAAATAAAAGTGCAATAATTTGAGGTTAATTTATTATTTATTGACTATATTTATGTCACCACGCTTTAGCATTTGAAATTTGCACAGTGCAGAATGAGTGACATACAGAACACTGCAGCGAATACACTGACCTCTAGTGGCCACTATATAGAATTGTAGTAAATGAGCATCTAAAAAATACCAAGCCTTCTATTATTTGTTTTGACTACCAGCTATTCCTGCTTGGAGAGGACAGAGAAGAGGCAACATTTTCTTAAAGGACAGAAGGCAGAGGTGAGAATTTGTAAGTTTGCCTTGAGTTCAAATGAATGGTCGCATTAAAGTAATTGTTGATGAATTGCTGATGATCAACTTAAGTCATTTTTATCAGAGGTTTACATAACTTTATTGATTTTATTGCATTGTTGTTGTTTTTCATGAAGGTTTTGCTGTGGTGTATGAAGCCTAACTTCTTCAGTCCAGAACTCATCCACCATGCAATTCTGCCATTCTGAAGAAAAAGTCTTTGTACGATAACTAAGCTGTACGAGTTTCAGTTTATTGTCAGTGCGTTCATTGTGGTATATTTCATCTCTTTTTATGTAGGATAAAAATTCTTACATTTACGCCATTAAGATTTCTGAGTACAGAATGCACGAGACGTAAATCAGACAAAAGGATGTGTTGATAGATTTACTTAGTTTTCAGGAATGACAACAATCCTGGGATGAAAAGACAGGATGTAGGAAGACCGAAGAATACATAAGGTACACGTTGTACATTTTCTTGCTCATACCTTATTAATTTTATGCTTATTTAAAGTGCTGCAAAAATACTATTTTATTTATTTATTCAAAGAGGCCACATAAAAACAGTTTAATGTAAAATAAGTCTTTATTTAATATGCTGGTTATTGTTCCTCATTGAATTATTCTTGTCACACATTTGTCTCACACACTCTTTTTTATAAATAAAAGATTGCTGTGGAAGTACTGTACAGGATTCCCTTTGTACATAAAAGACCCTACCAACAAAAGAGAATAAGAAAGGAACACGTATACCTTTGGATTAAAGACAAGGTCATGAAATGCATGAATTCAAAAATGCATTGCTGGTTTTGATGTTCGCACTAGGAATGGTTCTGCTTCATTTCTGACAAGTTGGGTTCCCTCTTCATTATATAATCCATTACACATCTCCCAGAGTGCAGAAGCAAATTTCTATGGGCCTTCTAAGTCAATGCAATTTGGCAAAACACTTTGCTTAATCAATGCAACGTCTCCAAAGAAAACTCTACTCATCTTAAGATTTGCATGTCTTTCTCTCTGTTGAGGATCTGAAATATACAAACTTAAGTCAACTTACAAAGTAAACTCTGTAAAGGGAACAATTTTAGCCAGAGCTTTTCTAAGGAAGATCATCAGCATACTAGGAAAGTATGAGCACATTCAAACATTTCATAGCTAACTTCTCTTTGAAATAATGGAAATTTACCCCCAAAAAACAACTATTAGATCATACTTAAAATGGATGGCGCAAACTCAAGAGTGCTTTTCCTCTTTGAATCAACAGACTAGTACAGAATACTGCAAACATTTCCATTACTCTGGCAATTTCACAGATATTTCCCTACAGCTTAATTCACACCATGGATTACTGAATACTCATTGATAAGTAAAGCAATCATGTTTAGTCAAAACCATAATCATTCCATTAACAATCTCAAGATGTACACAGAATTTGATTAGCAACTAAAATGAGGATAATTTGATCAATAACATGTATATCTGTATGTATTTGTATTTGCTCATTTGAGTCACTTCAGACAAAAGCAAAAATGACTTTGTGCTTGGAGTGGTCAAAGGACAAAAAGTGGTTGGTATTAAAATAAACTCACTTCCAGTTCAAAATAAAATGAACTTTGAATTCCTTCATAATTGTGGTGTCAAACTATATAGCGCACAGTCAAAATATCTGCACATGCAAGAGTTTGAGCACTGCTGCCTCTGATTTAACTCTCAGCTTTATCTCAAATCCTATCATACTGGAATTTAAAAAAAAGTGAATTTGAATGATACACATTTCGTGTGCATTATTTTAAAAGGGTCCTTTCAGAAAACTGTACCAAAACCAGCACATTTAAAGGGACAGTTCAACCAAAAACGAACACTGTTATTTACTCAGCCTCATGTTTTTCAACACATATGCTGAAGAATGTTTTGTTTATATAATAGGGTCCAATCATGAAAAAAAGAATACATATATCTTTATTTGTTTCTCAAAATAAATATAATCAGGTTTGGAATGACATGAGGGTGAGTAAATGATAACAGAGTTTTCATTTTTGAGTGCACTATCCCTTTAAGTACAGCAAATACACACAAATAATTGAGTAATTGAGACAAAGCACACACCACAAGAAACTGAATCAATTTCACCACCCTGGACAAGCGGCTATATCAACTTCAAAATCAACATGCCTAATCTCATGCACAGACCGCTGTAGGAGTTACAACACTGGCAGTGTGAACCGAAGCAAAACCTGACATTCAATCCCATATAAACAAAAACCTCCAGTCACACTGCAAACAATTAAATAAAGCATTATGTGGTCAGTCCCAATAACTCACAAGCTGCACTACTTCACAGCGTGTTACACTACACCATTCATCTATAAGACCACAATTCCCATTAGCATGGAGAAAAAACTGTGTATACTTACACGGTCTTATCTACCTTGCTACCTTTACTTCTTTCCCAGGCACTCATGAACTATTGGGCCAGCCAACAGAATCTTACAAATCCGTATTCTTGAAACTTTCCTAATGGGGTAGTTCACCCAAAAATGAACATTTTGTCATCATTTACTCATCCTCATGTTGTTCCAAACCTGTATGAACTTCTTTCTTCTGCTGAACACAAAGGAAGATATTTTGAAGAACAAAACAATTGCTGGTAGTCAGTGACCACAATAGTATTTTTTCCATACTATACAAGTAAATGGCTACCAGAAACTGTTTGGTTAACTACATTCTTCGCAAATATCTTCTCATAGAAACTCATACAGATTTGGAGCAACTTTGGGAAGAGTAAATGATGACAATTTTCATTTTTGGGTGAACTATCCCTTTAACTTTCAGAGAAGGGTAATAGCTGTTTTGGTGTCAGTTGAAGGACTACATCCTGGTTAATTTTTATTTCGATGTAATCTTAGTCAAAGTAAATTGTGCACGTTCAACTTTGGCAAAGGTATTGTAGACTGTGTAGAGAGAAAACACAGCTGGAGCTTGAATGTTTGCTGAATTGGTTTGCAAGCTACAAAATCTATAAGCTGCTGTTTAAATATTGCCTAAACTCAATACAAACGTGGTCCAGGGACATATGGAAATGCATGATTTTTCTGGATCAGAGCAGAGGCACTAATTCAAGGGAATGAGCAAATGAAAGTAAAATCAGGGCCCCTTTTTCTTATGACATTGCTGTTAAATCATACATGGCGGTGTGTTTATGATGACAGTGCAGAGCAAACTCATATTTTTATACAAAAAGAAATACAAATTAGAAATGAATGCAAAGTATAACGAATGCAGAGGCATCCTTGCTTCTGGCCCCAAAATATTACCCAACATTATTATACTATTAAGGCAGGGTCCTACACACAAGTCTAAACTTTCATGTCATACAATTCCGCACTGTCATATTTAAACATTCGCATACAATTACATTATTAAGAGGAACACACTCCCAACTGTACCAGTTCATTAAATCACGCAAACATGTCATGCACACATTTCTGTGGCACAATACAGAAGATATTTTAAGACACCATCCCAAAAACAGTTCTTTTTTAATGTTACTTGTAAAAATTCCTATGCAAAAATCTGCTATAACTTTTCATTTTGCTCGAGGGATTTCTTTTCTCCTTCCTGTTCTTCTGCCCCCAGCTTTTCCTCTATGTCTCCGATTTCCACTTTGTCTGGGGCTGGAGCATTTAAGTCTTGTATGACACTGGGCTCAGGGGGCTGATAGCGGTATTTGTAGCCAAAGGCACGCAAGTGGTAAGTGTAGTATTCCAGCAGGTACATGTGTGACGCATCCACATAGTGGAAAGAAACAGCCAGGTCTGAGCAACACTGTGGGCCCTGAGACAAACAGAGAGAAAGAATATATTATTATATGAATATATTATATTATTATATATAACCTGTAACTGCATACTCGCCATGTTGTTCCAAACCCACGTCTTGCTTTTCATTTTAATAAAATCCTGATAGCTCTTTTTTAGGCAGTTCCAATGAAAGTGGACTGCATCTTTTAATATTAATAAAAAGCACCATAAAGTTATAATAAAAATATTATATAGACTGATTATAATACATCAAATCACACCGATTTGGTTCTGGCTCAAGGATACAGTTTCAGCAGTTACTGGAAGATTTTTAGTGAAAAATGACTTACATTTACATTTAGTCATTTAGCAGACGCTTTTACGCAGTACACGTTGCAAGGTTTTTTTTAAATTAGGCTATATAATAACAGAAATGATATAATAAAAACAGATTGAATAGAAAAAGAATAGAGCAAGCTAGTGTTAGAGGCCTTTTTTGCTTTTGTTAATTGTATAATAAATAAAAAGAAAAACAAATAGATAGAATATTTATAGATAGAATATAGATAGAATATAGAAGATTAGAAAAGCTAGTGTTAGTGTTTTTTTTTTAAAGAAAACAAGCAGTAAATGAATAGAGTGCAAGTCTAAAAGGGACATGTTTTTTTTTTAAGAATATAATTTAAGTTCCTGACTTCAACTTGGCATATAAATCACCATTCAAATCAATAACTTTTATGGTGCTTTTGCATTCTTTTGAAGCAAGAAAATGTTGGTCCCCATTCAGTGTAAAAGAATGGAAAAGAGCCCATATTATGCAAACACTTTTGTGTTCAATTAAAACACGACTATCAGAAACATCTAACGAGTTTGGTGACGTTCAGTATGAGTAAACTATGACATTTTTTCCCCCTTTGTGTTCCAAGCTAAATAAATAAATAAAACAAAAGTATCAAAACAAGTATTAATACTGCAAATAATGACAGAATTGTCTTTACTTTTTAAAACTCTTAACTATAAGCTAGTCTTTTCTTATTTTTAATTTCATCAGGCAACAGTACTTAAAGTAATAAGTGCCAGCAAAATTCACTCAGTAGACTTTGATTTGTGCCAAAACAAACTTGTGCTCACTCGGGCGTTCAGTGACACGGGGATTAGTGGCTTTTGACTTGAGAAGCACATAGTAAATGTTCTTGTGCGTCATTTATTTAAATAGAATGTATGCAAAGGGTGAGATTCACATCCTCAGGGTGCACTAAATGCAAACGTAGAAAGACTGAAGTCTGATTTTTCACCTTTAATACGACTCTCTTCACTGTCTACACAGGTAGCATCTTAACTGAAAAGTGACTGATTTGAAACAAAGTCATAATGCCACAAAATATATTTTCTTCTGTATTATGACATACATCCAAGTTTGGCAGATTATCAAAAAAGAAAAAAACTGTAGGGTGGGCACAGTTGTTGATTGGACGGAGGCAGAATTGAATGCAAACTTGCAGTCGATTGCAAAAAGGGGTGTGTTTAAGCTGACAAAATGAAGTCTGTCATATGTCACCAGAGAGAAGTCTATCCTTTCACTGGAAGATCAAGCTATGGCTATCTGATAAAAAACAAACAAAAAAAAAAAAACTATAAACTGATAAACTGTTCTCAATACATGATGCTCCAAGCAAAAAATTTTTATATATATATATATATATATATATATTTTGATGAAGGAGACTACTGGAGCCTATGATGCCGTCTAGGTAGGCAGCTTACTAGGTTTTAGAATAGATATCAGGCAATCTTCACTGAATTCGGACTCACCTGCACAATGGGGTAATAACAGTAGTTCCAATACCAGAAGGTCTTAGGAAATGTACCAGTGAGATGGGACTCTGGTACAAAAGGATGGAATGTCTCTCTTTCTAAGGTGTCTCTGGAGTCTCCTGCCACAACGCCTATCTTCTCCATACACTGACCCAGAGCTAGGTCCTCCACTGAGCTAGTGTGAGTGCACACTTTGGTGCGAAAGCCCACAACAAACCTCCTCAGAGCCTCTTTGCTAAGCACGTAACCAGCACCGCCACTCATGTATCCCTGTTTTACGTACGGCTTAAACCGCCGGCCGAAATACACCGGGTCCTCTGGAGAGTGGCTGGCCAGAATCCAGCGCAGGTTGTCGACGACCACGTAAGTGTCGTCATCCGCTTTGAGGAACCAGTCTGCCTCGTCCCCGTGCTTGTCCATGACGTAGTGGAAAGCACGAATGGTTTTCCAGTACAGCTGATCCCGACCTTCCTTGGTGTTTAGGCCAACCGTAGGAAAATCAGGGTCATCCACAGAGCTTATGAAGACCACAATGTTGCAGTGGCGACTCCACGTGGCTTTCACGTGCCGAGCTTTCTTCTCAAGGTTATTAGGGCCGGTCATGACCCAACACAAAATGCGTACATGCTTATAGAGAGCGTCAGCCAGAGTGCCATCCTCACCTACAAGAGACAGACAATGATTACTCAGAAAAATACTCAAATCAAACCAAAATCACATGCTACAAAGCAGATAAGAATATTTTGAATGTGAAAGATGCTAGTGAGAATAAAAATTCATGTCAAAATTAGTGCTGTCAAACGATTAATCGCGATAAAAGTTTTTGTTTGCATAATATGTGTGTTCTGTGTATATTTATGATGTATATATAAATACACACACATACAGTATATATTTTGAAAATATTTACGTCTATATTTATATTCATATAATTTATATTATAAATAAATATATTTAATGTATAAAAATACCATATTTTTCTGAAATATATACATGTATGCGTGTGTATTTATATATACATAATAAATATACATGGTACACATACATATATTATGTAAACAAAAACTTTTATTTTGGATGCGATTTATCGCAATTAATCATTTGACAGCACAATGCAGGACCGTTTAAAGTGATAGTTCACTGAAAAATGAAAATTCTGTCATCATTTTGTCAACCTAATGTCATTCCAAGGCAATAAGACTTTAGTTCATCTTCTGGAACATAAATGAAGATTGCTCTCTCATTTCTTCCATCCATTGAAAACATCAAAAGTACAAGATAACACTGTAAAAGTAATTCAAATGAATTGTGCTTTTTAAGTCTTCTAAAATTGAAGTGTAAATATTTTATTCATATTCACACATAAACATTGGTCAGTGCACATACACAGATCACATCAAATATTGTCATTGGCAGCTCAACCGTAGGTGCGGAATAAAATGTGAATAAAAGCCTAAGTTAAATCTTTTCATCACATAGTAAATGTGTCTCTTTAGGAGACTTGGATTAAACCACTCGACTCATATGGATTACATAATTTTAAATGTTTTTATTGAATAAAGTTTTAGTTGTGGAGACTTTCAATGGACAGACATTAAAAATATCTTAATTTGTGTTTCAAAGATGAAGAACGACATAAGGGTGTGAGTAAATGATGAATTTTTATTTTGGCGAAATTAACCCTTTAAAGGGGTCATATGATAAAAAGAACATTATTTGGTGTATTTGGTGTAATGAAATGTGTTTATGCGGTTTAAGGTTCAAAAAACACATTATTTTCCACATACTGTACATTATTGTTTCTCCTCTATGCCCCGCCTTTCTGAAACGCCTCGATTTTTACAAAGCTCATCGGTCTGAAAAGCAAGGTGTGCTCTGATTGGCCAGCTATCCAGTGCGTTATGATTGGCCGAATACCTCAAGCGTGTGACGGAAATGTTACGCCTCTCACCATATTGTGATGATGCCGTCAGGCCGGGGCGATGATTTAAAAACATGAAAACCCATTATAAACGAGGCATTCGTTGCATCCAGTGGGGACATAATTATGGATTATAATGACTTATACTGTCTTTCTACACGTTGCATTGCGCCGCGTAAACATAAAACCATGTCTGCATTTGTGACCGGAGAAATGACAAACAACAAGCGCTACTCTACACTGCCCAAAAAACTCGCTTTAAATATAAAAAATATAAAATATAAAAACTCTTTAAATATAAAAAAACGTACTTGCAGTCTCCGAGTCAAAACAGCCGGCATTGTAGTCTACTAAAAAATTTAAATCGCATCATATGACCCCTTTAAAATGAACTAGACAAAGCCAAAAAGCTTTTAAAAATGTTGATAAACACTTAAGAAATAGTTTATCAAGTATGGAATACCATTATCTGTTTAAATTTGTGTCAAATATTTATTCATAAAATTTAGAGCCAGCATTTGATAGTCCACAGTTTATTACTTTTGGGATAGTTTACTGATAACCAACTGTTGATAAAACCTTTCTGTAAACTTTAACAAGGACAACACATAAGATGTGAGCCCAAAATTAAAAGCAAAGTACATCTCTCCAGGGAGTATACACAGTCAGACGCAAACATGCCCATAAAGAGTTCCTCACACATAGAAGGCTGGTGAACAGGTGAACTGTTTTTTCAATTATAGTATCAGGGTGTGAAATTATATTCACAAGTCATATCAATAAAAGGGTGTAAAAGCTGAAGCACTGTATATACATTATCTGGCTATACCAGTCTAACACACCTCTTTTGGGAATGCCTTTATTTATTTCTTTTAACATTAACTGACAGATTCACAAAATACTTGTTCTTTGTGGATCATAAGACCTGACAAACAACATATTTCTAAAAAAAATTGAATATGACTGTAATTTAGGGGATCATTTCCATATTACGGTTTCCAACAAAACCATGCAAAACAAGTTGTACAGGTGAAACAACAGAGCACAAGGAATGTATTTTATATATAGGAATGTAACGCCATTTAAGTTATTCAGGCCCGATACACACAATTACCATATATGCTTAAGGACAAAAAACAAAGATTCAAATTCTGCCATAATTTACTCACCTCATATTGTACCAAACCTGTATGACTTGATTTCCTACTATTCACTTGCATTTCATGTTTTGTCATTCAGGTTCCAAATATGACAATCATAAAGGTTTGGATCATTTCTGGGCCATTGATCGATATACACTGTGGCACTTTATAGATACAGAGTTTCACTTGTAGTGCTCATACTATGAATATATTGTGTTTGCTTATTATAAGCATTCATTTCTACATTGTATTTACCTGTATGGTGAGGATGATTGAGGTTGAAGAGAGCCAACCTCTCCTTCTTCCAGTTCTTGTTTTCTTCTTCAACCATCTCCAGCATGCTTTTCTTGTGGGCCTCGGGCTCAACAGACCCCACGTTCCGCGTGAACCCAACCTGACGCAGGAGCACGTACATGGTGCACGTGCCCACCACAAGGCCCACGTAGAACGCGGAGCGCGCGCCGAGAGCTTTCATCACGAGCTCTGTATGTAGAGACTCTCACCTCAGAGTGACTATTTAGAAGACGGACAGAAACACAAAACCACTAACTACAGGCAGCAGAGGACGGCGCAGTGCTCGTCAAACCTGTCAATATGCTACGTTCACGATTCAGATCTCATTAATACAAATAAATAAATAAAATAAAATAAAAATCGAAAATAAACCCGATGTTATGCGCGTAGAGTCTGCGTGACAGCAGCTCCATGATCTATGACTGATTATGACAGCACTGCGATAGAAAACAGCATGCGTCGTCATACCAGGATACAACTAATGACAGCTAAACGTCTTCGCTGGAAAATAATGCTGGATTAAATTTTTTACATTGGGAAATTAAGTTTAAATTTAGACAACACTTATCAGGCGTTGTGTAACTGGCGTTCTTCCAATAATCAATTTGTCTTTAGTTCTCCTGACAATTTTGAGACGTAAAATATACAAGATCGTCATTTAAAAAATGTTAATTGTTTACTAGCACAATAGTTGTGTACTAAGGGGGCCTAATTTTATTAAATAACTAAACCCTAAAATGTTTAGACGAAGTACAGAAAATACGAATGTGACATCATCAACTGTTGCTTTTGTTATTATTGAAGAACATACACATTTTGAATGACAAAATTAATTGTAATCTATGAACACTTTTTTTCTATTTTTGATTTAAAAAAAAGTTTTAAAACAAGCAGCTTTGTCATGATTACAGCAGAAGTACCAGAGCAAATATTTTAGCCTTTCTTAGGTGACACATAATCTTACCAGACAGCTTATTTCCTCCATAACAGAAGTGAGAAAAACTGCAGGATTCGGCACTGAGGCCATTTCAGTCCAACTCGGAGAGCTAGCATAACAGCATAGCTGTGGTTTTCAACTTAAATCCAATAAATCTGACAGCTTAATCATGCACATCGGCTTCAGAATCATGTCCTGGCTATTTTCCGGCCCGTACAAATTTGCCTTGGGGGATAATACTAGGTTTTACTTAAAGCTAACTAGCAACGTGCTTCCTATCTCTTCCTATGTTAACTGAATGTTGTTCACCACCAAGTAAAAGCCGAGAGGTATGGGGGCGGTTCAGTTCGGTATTATAATTAGCCGACCCTTTTCAGAGCTACTCCCTGTCCAACTTTGTTTCGTGGACAGTGACACACACCCATCCCACTAAGTTGTTTCGCTTTTATTTCAACCAAAAAATTAAGGAAATCTTTTCGACTACACCATTCTCGAAACGATTGAGGAACGGTGAAGTGTGAACTCAACTGTTCGCGTCACAACTAATACAAGACATACGGAAGCGCATTTGATTGGATGGATCGACTGTCAATCTTAGGCTGAACGATGATGTCATTTGAACGGCGGGTTATGATTGGACCACATGTATCCAACCGTGGAACACATTCCGGCAAGTGAAGGCAGGGAGCCAAACGAATCACGTCGAAAAAAGTTTGAAAGATTGTTATGTAAGGATAAAAGAAACTAGAATACTTTGATCTCCTGAGAGGCAAAGAATGCACTGGCATCTTCAGGACACCCCACAGAGGGGTGGTGCGGGAAACGCCTCTCTCACATATGCATCTGTGCCTTTTCACTCAAACTGGTCAAGAATATAATGTTCTAAATGAATGCAAATAAGATTTACAGTCATGTTTGGTTTCATTTGAATAGTTTCAGGGCAAGTGGTACAATGGTCTTAATCTTACTAAAAGATAATACAGATCCTAAGAGTTAAGAGAAACTTTGATCACCGTAGAGAGCAATCTCATGCAAATTACCTTTTGTTCTTATTGAGGTGTAGACCACCCAGGTCTGGGACCTGGCTTAATGCAAATTCCAATTGTTGGTACAGGCCTCCATTTGGAGGATGTATTTACTTGGTTTGGTATTTAAAGGACTGCAGCAAAAGGGTCAGCGCGATTCTGTAACGAGAATGCCCGTAGTACAGAGTATCTCCACATACTCTGATCGACATCAATTACGCCTAGCCTAGCCGGTTGAAATCCGGTGAAGGTTTGAGAGCGTTCAAGTCGTGTCGTGTCTGCTTCCTCAAATGCTTATGAGCACAACCCTATGCGAAAATTAACAATGTATAAGTAATTTTAATAACCTTTTTTTTTTTTTTTTTCAAATCAAGCATTATTAACTGATGTATAAATTATGTATACAAATAATCAATGTTATGTGATTTATTACTTATTGATTTATGCTTCTTATAATAATCCTAATCCTATATTCATATTCAAATACTGTGATTCATTTATGTTTATCTTTTACTTTGTTTGATTTATGTTCTTATGTGATATTTGTAGTATTCTCCAAAATTATGTATGTTATGCACATTTTATATGTTTGAAAGTTACATCTTCTATTGGTGTTCTGTTAGATATTGGACATCTTTCAACTACTGCCTGAGTAATGTTTCTCAGAATTAGTCATTAATGGTACTAGATGTTCTGTTCTAGAATCTGTTTTTTTTTTTGTAATATGTAAAATATGATATTTAAAACAAAGTGCTTATTTAGCTAAATTTGTTCTAAAGATGTGGAAACCATATCTAACCACACATCTATTTTTAACCACAACATTTGACTGGTCACCATGACCTAGCCCAGGGGTAGGCAAGTTCGGTCCTAGAGAGCCGCAGTCCTGCAGAGTTCAGCTCCAACCCTGAAAAAAAACTAACCTGCCTATAGCCTTAGTAATCCTGAAGACATTGATTAGCTTGTTCAGGTGTGTTTGATTAGGGTTGGAGCTGAACTCTGCAGGACTGCAGCTCTCTAGGACCGAACTTGCCTACCCCTGACCTAGCGGCTAACCTGATCTGTAGTCGATGTAACATGTGACATAATGAATAAGTCTATTTAACCTTTTCTTATTAGACATAAACACCAATTTGGGAGGATGTAAGTTTCCTGCATATTCCTTGTACCTACTCTGATTCTTAATTTTTTTTCACACTTTCCTTTACTTCTTTACTACTACTTCTCCCTTCTTCTGCTTTTCTTGCAATCCGCAGATATAGTTATTTTTTTTTTAGCTTTTCTTCTGACTTTCCCTACTTCATCTATTAGATACAATACTTTGGAACACTTTTCACTTGTTATAAATTATTGATCTAAATAATGCTTCTTTTAAAATGTATCTCTGATATAGGCATTTACTCAACTCCCTGGATCTCACTGCAGCAAGCTTTTCATTTGAAAGCTGTCAGAAACGGGGGTATATTTTGTAACGATTGTATATTAACTTTTATTTATATGAATATACTAGCTGTTGTTATATTATACTAACAATAAAATTGTGACCAGAATGAAAAGGCGTTTTGTCACAATGCTCAGAAGACACGAGGTGAGCTTGTAATTTGAATGTGTGCGACTTCAAGGCTACTTAACATTGTTTAAACCTATGAATTATTATTTTTATTGTAGACCACAGCATATCGTACATTTTATTTTTCAGTCATCGCTCCCACGCATGCATTTTTAACAGGTTTCTGAGAAACATTTCTTTAGTAGTACCAAAATGTACAATTGTGCATCTCGTGGTGACCTTTGAAAACCCAAAGCTGTTGTAAGCGAGTCTCTGAGCCACTGAAAATTTGACCAACAGTTTTGTTTAGTTTAGTTTTGATGTACTCTGCTTGACTGAAACCTTGCTCAAACCAAATGATTATATTGGTCTAAATGAGCCTACTCCACCAAGCTTCTGTTATAAGCATGAGCCCCATTGGATTGGTAGAGGTGGCGGTGTTGCAACAACAATAGGGATGCGCAACAGACTTCCGTATTCTGTTAACCGGGTCTCGTCGCTTCCGGTTCAAGCGTTTTGCATATGCTTCGTTAAATATGAAGCAGTTTTACTTAAGATGCCTTCAAAGTAGATACCAATGATGATCATAACCAATGTCCACCACATATGCGGACTGATATCTAAACGTTTTTTTAGTTTTATTCTTTTCACATTTAGATTTTATTCAATAGAAATGGAATAAAACGTCAACAATAAAAACAGCTAGCTGGTTTAACTGATTATCTTTAAAGTCCATAGATATAGCTATTATTTAATATGGCTGTTAACACGTTCTCCGACAAGCGGAAGCGATGAGACCCGTTTTCCAGGTTTGGTCAGGTGATGTTCGACATATACCCCTCGGGGTAGAAATAGCGGCCTGGGGGAGGGGGGTCCACCTCAGGAAAATACGGGATTAGTTTCCATTGTTATGCTGATGATACTAAACAAGATATGATCTCAACAAGACCAGATGAAACTTCTAAATTATCTAAGCTAACAGAATGTGTTAAAAATGTAAAAGATTGGATGACCAATAATTTTCTCCTATTAAATTCGGATAAGACAGATATTACTTATTGGACCAAAAAAAAACAGTACACAGAATCTCTTGGATTACAATTTGCAACTAGACGGATGCACGGTTACTTCCTCTACAGTCAACAATCTGGGTGTTATATTAGACAGCAAATTGTCTTGTTACAAAAACAGCATTCTTCCATCTTAGAAACATCGCCAAGCTACGAAACGTGTTACCTTTTTCTGATGCAGAAAAGCTAGTTCATGCACTCATGACCTCTAGACTGGACTATTGTAATGCACTGCTAGGTGGTTGTCCTGCATCTTCAATAAACAAGCTACAGGTAGTCCAAAATGCAGCGGCTAGAGTCCTTACCAGGTCAAGAAAATATGATCATATTACTCCAATTTTACAGTCTCTGCACTGGCTACCCATTAAGTTCTGTATCAGTTACAAAATATTATTACCGGTACTTACCTATAAGGCCCTTAATGGTTTAGCTGCATATCTAACTAGTCTTCTACCATGCTACAATCCATCACGCTCCCTAAGGTCGCAAAACTCTGGACTTTTGGTAGTACCTAGGATAGCAAAGTCCACTAAAGGACAGACACACTCTCTGTTCAAATCTGGATTAAAGACACATCTCTTTGGCCAAGCATTCAAATAATGCATCTCATAATCTTGTACTGCAGTTATATCTGATCAAATGCACATTATTATTCTTCAGCTTGGGTTGAACAAATCATTTTTGCTTGGTTAGAACAGCAGCGTAACTAGGAATTACACAAGCTTCAGTCTGGATCCAGAACACCTGAGAAGAGATGATGCCAACTCCTCAGAGGACCTCAGATGATGCCAACCCTGAAACAACACACAGAACTACCAAATTTTGCTAGAAGTTTGATTGCAACATATAATCATTGCTGTTAACGGTGTTCATCGTCTGTTTGATTATGTCATTAACTGATTTTTACCGTACATTTCTGCCATATGTACATCAACATGACAGTCACCACTGATAAGCTACTACTAAATATATTGTAGAAACTTAATTTCCTGTAAAGCTGCTTTGCAACGATTTGTATCGTGAAAAGCGCTATACAAATAAACTTGAATTGAACTGAACAAGTAGTCCCGCCCGGGCGCAAAACGTATGCCACCAGGTTCTGATTGGCTAACATGCATGGCCCGCTGTCATTCTTTTTCTTCTTTATTTGACTGTTTTCCAAATACAGGGGCTCTCACAGGGATAGTGCGATGACATCTCAAGACGTATTTTATTGGTATCTGTTTTTTATTTTTTTGATAAATTGCTTACTGCAGCTTTAACCACTCAATCCCTCACAAAAGGGCAAGTGTGCTTACATTAGAAAACAGAAACTGAAAGTATGCCTTAAATTATAACAAATCAAATGCTGTAGCAACATTATTTGCAACTGACTAAAGTATGATGATCATTCAAAACATTTACATCAAAAAGAGCCCTTGTCTGCTGGTGACATGAAAGCACTGGCTAAATGCAGTAGATTCCAAATGTTTGGCAACGGTTTTCGTCCAGGTTTTAAACTAACTTTGCATCTTATAACTGGGCTGTCTGCACAAACAAACTTGACAAAAAAGATGAATTGAGACAAAACTGAAGCAGTACACTAAATTATTTGCTTAGGCCAGGGTCAGGCTCAGAATTTGTTGGAGAAAGTAGCTTTAGACGTTTCCCACTGTTGTGAACCTGTGGCCAAACAATATTTGCAAAACAAAACATGAATTATGTGCCAGAAGAAAATAGTGGCAGGACACTGCTTCTATTTACATCACATTGGCTAATCTTTCATTCAACTTGCATCGTCAAGCTCTACCGCCATACTGTGGATATCAAAGGCATCCATTGAATCCAGATTTTCTGACATTCAAGAGCAACCAAGACAAAACAAAATCAATGTTTGTT